TGTGAAATAGAGTTATTAAAGTTTTACCGAGAAAAAAAATTATTAAATTTTTACCGAGAAACAGTAGAGAATTAGTTAAACGAAACGCATTGTCCGATGATGGTTGCAATTTTCTTTCTTTTGTGTTTACTGAGAAATAGAATTGCTAAATGAAACGATTTTGCGGTGATTTGCGATGTCGCGTGAAAGATACTATTTTTCTTTTGAATGCTTTTTAAACCGAGGTGGGATTCTGCAAGGGGTTAGAAAGTATTTACGTATGGACGTTGGATAATTGAGGATGAAAGTGGGTAGTAAATCATGGAATAGCCCGTGTCAAACCGTCCCTCGATATATCATTGTAGCGACGAGCGCTTATGGAAATGTCGTAGGTGTGAGAAAATTCTTGGAGCGTCGAGTGTGATTGAGATGTTTGAAAAAGGAGGATTCTAAGATTGAGTACCTATGCGTAAAAGTCAATTTCTGAGTTGTTGCAGGGTTATATATAGATGTATCCTAGAATTGTCTCGCGAAATTTGTGTTTCACGGTGAACCGTCGAATTCTTCAATTTTCCAAACCGTAAACTCTCGTGATTTTGAAAGTTGAAGCCTCTGGCGTGCGCCATCTTGTCGGCGACAAGATTGTGAAAATCGCACTATTTCACGACGTTCGGCCTATAATTGTAACAAATCTGCAGATTCCTACATCTTTCGATGCCTGTCGCTTGTTTCCCCATCAACCGATTTCGATGAAATTTTCAGCATGTGTATAATTGACATAGATCTACGAAACGTACACTACCGGCCTGGAATCACCGAGCATTGCAATTTACACAAAAATTTCCAGAAAAAAGTCAACGACTTTGAGAGTTTTTTATCGTTCGAATCAATTGATACGAGATAAATCGATAAATGTAGGATTGAGATAAACTTGAAATCTATAAAAAATTTAGCAGAAGATTTTTAATATTGATGAAAAGTGAGAGGTGATTCGAAACTTTTGGCCGGTAGTGTATGTTTTAAATTTTCGTTACAAGCTCAGTGACCTTTACAATTTTCTTCGCGATTCCCACAGATTGCAATATTTTCAAAAAATTTTACACACGTCACCTAGTGTACCAATCCTTCTAACTTCTCAAAATAATTCAAGTCCAGTTTAGAAAAAGTTATACTGTTCTAAAGAGTGTCAGAATGTTAGTAAGAGTCACTGTAGTTAACTATCATTTAAGTCTAGTAACCACACATCAATCAACATTTAAGCCTACCCAACCCAATTCTTCTCTCGTCACACATAACCTGCCTCGAGATCATAAAGCCTCATAAACTAAAGAATTAACCAACATTTAACAACAACTGCACATCAATCAACTATCCTTCGCGACACTTTCAACCCTGTCGAACCCAATCTCCGAAAAAGAGATCTCATCCTCCCCTTACGGTCCATCTTCGTCGTCACAACGATCCACGTTACCATCCACCGTTCCAACTTCCCATATCAATCACCGTAGGAGGCACAGATAGCCCTAAGTCACACGTTGATCCTTCGATCGGCCAAAAAATATCCCCTCTTCCTCCTCTCTGACAGACGTCCTCGACGTTTGGTCGGTATCGCGCCAATTATGGCGACCGCAGATGCCAGCCATCGAGGATTTAGCAGATCGAAAGGTTCACGGCCACGATCACCTTGGTCGATCCCGCGAGACTAATGCGCTTAGACCCTTCCTTCTTATACACCGATCTCTCCTCCTCCTCCTCCCTCCCCCGGTGATCACGATCCCGTCGATCCTGTTCCACGGTAATAATTACCGGCTGGCTGTCAGTGCCAGGTCAATGGGAAAGCATTGGAACGGCCACGAGAATCGACAGCTTCCGCGGGTCGTTAAACCTGAAACGCTTCTCGCTGCCGTGTGCCACCACCGTTGCCTCTCGGATGGCCTCGCTCTTTTCGTCGTGATCGGTGCATTAGCAATTAGAACAAGGCGAAATGGCTCGCCTTCCACTGTTTTCCATGTTGTAAGGTCGAACACGGGTTCAGGCTGCGGGGATTATCGACGGGTTTCTCGGTTTGTTCGATCGATTGGAAATTGGGGTGAGATGGAGATTAGGAGGGATTAGAGTGCTGCTTTTGGTTGCTGGAAAGGTGTGTCAGGTGAGAATTGTAGTGTTTATTAACAATCAAATACTCAAAGTTCAAAGTGCCGGGTTTTGTTTAATTATTGAGATTTTGTGGTTGTTCGAGGTTGCCAGGATAGCCAAATTCATGCTAATCAAGATGCTATTTTTCCTTTTATTTCTTTTCATGCCAAAGTTTCTATTTTTTTGTGTCAGATTAATGCATACCAGCAAGACACGTTTTTTTTGTCTTCGTTAAGACGAACACAGCTCGTGTAATTTTTAGTATTTTTGCTTTCAAAAAATTGGCTGTGTATTTGAAACGTTAGTAAATACGCGTGCCAAAATTTATGTGAAAAAGTCTTACGGTTTCTTTGAAAAAAAATCACGAAGAAAATTGCATTCTAGACCAGAATACCGCCTTAGTTTGTATTTTTGGAAGTTCGATAACTCGCTTAATTCCTATTTTCTGCATTCTGTGGCATTAGAAATATTGTAGTTCATCCCGACAGTTGTGACACAATTTGTACACCATTTCTGAATCACGTAAACCAGTTACAATCTGCACAAGGTTCCACGAACACTGAAAACAGACCACCTAATTACCCACCCAACCTAATTAACTACCTCCAGTATTACCCTAAAATTTGTATACACAATTAAACAGCTTCAGAGGTGTGAACGAATCACTTCCACCTGTTTCTCTCAATACTAGATTCAGCCAAATTGACAAGCAGTCGTTCGCACCAACAACGACCGTTACTCATAAATCCACCTAACCAATGAAAGAGCGCCTTCCTATTCGCATATCCAATTAACACGACACTCTCTATCATTCTCTCAATTAACTGATATATACCCCTCGATCGATATCGATCGTATCTAACGTCGCGAACTTACCACAAATCACCATTAGTTCCACCTAATTTCACCCTAACCTGTATCAAAGTGGGAATTCAAAACGAGGCACACGTGAGTGGTGGAGGGGAAAGGAAGAAAGTCCATTTCTATCGTGTAGATTCGGGACGATTCTCGAAACGGTGGAAACAATCGAAAAGAAAGCAGCTTCTTTAAGGCTAGAGACGATCAGGTCTCGGGAAGTGTTTGGAGGATCGACGGGGATCGTCGGGAAGGTCAGAGGTGAGTCTCTCGAGCGTGCCTCGGAAATAGAACGCCGGTGACGTGGTGGTGTGTACCGGTTCTAGTCCGTTTCTATTTCAATTATCGCGCAACCAGCCAATTTGCCGGCGTTTAATCGCCGCCGAATCCGCGCACGATTATCATTCCCGGAGTGTGCGCGCTGTATGCAAGGAAGGGGGGTGGGTTCGGAGCAAAGTGAAACGGCGCGAGCGCGACCATCGAAGATCTAGATCGGAAACTTTCCAGCGGCTCGTTCAGGAATGTTGATTAACGTGTTAATTAAGCGGCGCCCAACGTTGGAAAAATCGCGGCGACCGGTAGGAGCGAGGAGGAGGAGGAAAATTCGTAGGTTTCGTTTTATTTTCTCTTGTATTTTTGGCGGAGTTGTTCGGCGAAACATAACGATGCCCGAGTCGGAGAGTGAAATCGCAAAATTTCTGAGTTTCACGATTTCAGAGGTGGAGGGAAAAGTGGAAGTTACACGCGCTGCTTCGCCCGCGACTTACGTAAGGCACCGCGCGCGGACGAGAAAAGTCGACGCAATTATCGGACATTTTTTCCGAACTTTCTAAAGTTTCTAGGTGTTGCGCCGGCGAAATTGAGAAAGTCGAGCGATTTTCTTGGGATACGTGGTTGCTTCTTTCACGGTGGTTTGGAGGTTCCGATTCGATCGACGCGGTGCGGTGGCGGAGGTTGATGTTCGGCGTGTTCGATGGTGGCGAAGATGATTCAGTTGGTCGCTCGGCCTTTTTGGATGCAGTTGAAATTTGACGAATGATTCAATTTTTAAAAATTACTGTACACTTCGTTCGTATTGTATAAAATCTTAATGGGTTCATTTCTGATCTAGTACGTTAATAATAGTCACTGATGAAGTGCACACCTGAGAATATTTTGATAATTTTTATCTATCAGTAGCAATTTTCTGTTATCACTCTCTCTCTCTGGCAACGCGAAAATTGAGAGACAGAGAAAATTGTATTGAATCGTTAATCTTCTGTAAACGTAAAATTAATTGAAAATTGTTGAACTGAAAATTAATGATTGAAAATTGTCGAATTGAAAATTAAGGATTGAAAATTGTTAAATTGAAAATTAATGATTGAAAATTGATTGATAATTGTTGAATTGGAAATTAGTGATTGAAAATTGTCAAATTGAAAGGTAACGATTGAAAATTGGAAATTGGCGATTGAAAATTGCTAAATTGAAAATTAGTGATTGAAAATTAATTGATAATTGTTGAATTGGAAATTAGTGATTGAAAATTGTCAAATTGAAAGGTAACGATTGAAAATTGGAAATTGGCGATTGAAAATTGCTAAATTGAAAATTAGTGATTGAAAATTAATTGATAATTGTTGAATTGGAAATTAGTGATTGAAAATTGTCAAATTGAAAGGTAACGATTGAAAATTGGAAATTGACGATTGAAAATTGCTAAATTGAAACTTAGTGATTGAAAATTAATTGATAATTGTTGAATTGGAAATTAGTGATTGAAAATTGTCAAATTGAAAGGTAACGATTGAAAATTGGAAATTGACGATTGAAAATTGCTAAATTGAAACTTAGTGATTGAAAATTAATTGATAATTGTTGAATTGGAAATTAGTGATTGAAAATTGTCAAATTGAAAGGTAACGATTGAAAATTGGAAATTGACGATTGAAAATTGCTAAATTGAAACTTAGTGATTGAAAATTAATTGAAATTAATTAAAGTTTCGCACCTTTTAACGGAACCGTTCGATTTTCTCATTGTTCCAGGAAAATGGTTGCCTCTACTCCCACATACGATGGGGCGAGGCTTTCGTGGTCGTTTACAGCGTAACGTGCAAACGAAGCTTTCAGGAAGCCCGCGGATTGCTGAAGCAACTGGCTGACTTACGTCTACCATCCTACTTCACCGCCCTGTTGCTCGGCAACAAGAGAGATCTGGATCATGCTCGGTGAGTGTCTGATCAGGCTATATGCATGGAGATTAGCAGCCAAGCGAATTAAAGGTCAGAATCGACCGGGAGGTTAATAACGTGAAATATGGAGCGGTAAATAATGTCTGTCGTACAGAGAAACTGGATTTTCTGAAAAATTTCCATAAGGAATGGATTACGAACATTTTTCTAAAAAGTTTAATTTATTCGAACGGTTGCTAAATACTGTGCAATTTTTCCATTGCAAATACTTCATGTTGATAAAGAGTATTACTAAACCGAGTATTACTAAAGTATTACTAAAATATTAAATCAATCCATTTCTTCGTATTAACCCCTTAACCTGTGATTTCTTTTCTGATTATGCATCTAAGCGTCAGCCATTTACTGTTTTAGTACTGTATCAGGTAACGAAAGCTAATTTCTTACAGATTAATTACATTTAGTAATCTTCAGTATGACGAATTGAAGGAAAAGATAGGATTACAATTAATTTTTCTTACCGACATAACTATTTTTTTCACATATTGACCAAAATCTCTGCCACGAGTCTGACACGTTGTTACAGGTTAAAGGGTCAACTTGAAATTCATACAATTCTTAATAATTTAATGTTAAAAACTCCAAAGACAGAATTTATTTTAATTTAACAAAGAGTTTTCATTCTCCCCTGAAAAATCTCACATTTCATATCACACAAAAACAAACTTTCCAATAATTAATTAAATTACGAACGAACCAATTAATCGCTAAAATCGCTCGAAAATAATCAAATCACTCAAATTGTAATGAAACACGGTACCACTTAATTACGACAATCGTTAACATCGATAGATAAAGACAATTCCCCTGTTCCTTCTCTCATCCTCGATTCGACTGAAAAACTTACCTCCGCCATAAATCACTACTCACCACTCCATCACGCAACACTATAAAACCAACCGTCGAATGCCTACTCTTCGCTGCAACCAATCACGTCTGTTGCATACAAACACACTAACCTCCATATCCAACTGGAAATCAATCGACGGGACAATGCTCGAAACTCACCTATCCATCTTTAAAAAACAAAAAAAAAAACGACAAGAATAAAATAAAACGATAATCAGGCATGCAATCTGTTCAGTCATCGCGATTCGCGCTAGTCGCGTTTATAGAGACAGCGATCTGATGTCGAAGGCATGACCGTTCGCATTTTCCACGCGGTCAGCAACAGCGATGCAAAACAAACGTTGGAACGGACGGGGGATCGGAGAGAGACATGCTTCGATCGAGATCGTCCCGACTAATCGACCGGTCGAACGATTCTCGACGCGGTCCGGCCCGCGTCAATCGCTTCATTACGAAACCGTTAAACATAACAAACACACCGATGGACGAGACGGTGCAGCAGCGGTCTCTGACTGACCCGTTTCTCGTCCCTCCCCTTTACCATCTTCGACACACTTTTCCCCCGGTTTGATTGTCATCTAATTGCTGGTCCTTGTTCACGGGACGGGAAAGAATCGCGATATCATTGGCCGGCAACTGGAATCGCTTGGGACAGTCCCGAATCTCGCTGATTTCACGCTCGACGCCTCTGGCGATTTTATACTGGGCTGCGTATGTGTACTTACGTGTATAGTCGATGGAAGAAATGTAGGGAGGTAGTAAAATCGGTCAGACGTCAAAGTTTACACGTTCGAGCGTATAGACAAGTGGTATCGACGGAACAGTGAGATGATAAGGAATTGAGAAGTTAGTCAGGGATGCATGAAGTGTATAGTCGGTGAAAGAAATATAGAGGTCGTGAATTAATGCGTTAAGTAACGGTACTGATTTATGCAGTTATGCTCAGGGTTGTTTGCGACATTTTTCGTTTTTCGATTAAGACTGAAGAGAAGCTAAGGTATAGTCGGTGAAGGAAATATAGAGAGATCGTGAATTGATGCGTTAAATAGCGGTACTGATTCATGCAGTGATAGGGTTAATTGCGACGTTTTTCGATTAGGACTGAAGAGAAGCTAAGGTATAGTCGGTGGAAAAAATATAGGGAGGTCGTGAATTGATGCATTTAATAACGTTACTTATTAACGATGTTTTTTGTTTTTCGATTAGGACTGAAGAGAAGCTAAGGTATAGTCGGTGGAAAAAATATAGGGAGGTCGTGAATTGATGCATTTAATAACGTTACTTATTAACGATGTTTTTTGTTTTTCGATTAGGACTGAAGAGAAGCTAAGGTATAGTCGGTGGAAGAAATATAGCGAGGTCGTGAATTGATGCATTTAATAACGTTACTTATTGACGATGCTTTTTGTTTTTCGATTAGGACTGAATCGAAGCTAAGGTATAGTCGGTGGAAGAAATATAGCGAGGTCGTGAATTGATGCATTTAATAACGTTACTTATTGACGATGTTTTTTGTTTTTCGATTAGGACTGAATCGAAACTAAGGTATAGTCGGTGGAAGAAATATAGGGAGGTCGTGAATTGATGCATTTAATAACGTTACTTATTGACGATGCTTTTTGTTTTTCGATTAGGACTGAATCGAAGCTAAGGTATAGTCGGTGGAAGAAATATAGCGAGGTCGTGAATTAATGCATTTAATAACGTTACTTATTAACGATGTTTTTTTGTTTTTCGATTAGGACTGAATCAAAGCTAAGGTATAGTCGGTGGAAGAAATATAGCGAGGTCGTGAATTGATGCATTTAATAACGTTACTTATTAACGATGTTTCTTGTTTTTCGATTAGGACTGAATCAAAGCTAAGGTATAGTCGGTGGAAGAAATATAGGGAGGTCACAAATTAAAGCATTAACTATCGGTACTGATTGACGAGGTAACACTAAGGGTTGAATTGACATTTTTCGTTTTTCGTATAGGAATGAATCGAAGCTAAGGTATAGTCGGTGGAAGAAATATAGCGAGGTCGTAAAATCGGTGAAACGTCAAAAGCCTAAAGAAGGTAAAGACCTTGAATGATTTTTGCAGCGAGGTCCTTTATCATCAGGTATTAAACCAGAGAAAAAAAACGACTGAAATTATACATGATTGCATATTTTTGAAGATAATTAGGTGGCCCACCCTGTATATTAAAAATTACAAGCACCTAGCGACAGTCTTTCGTATGATCCACTGAGAAGACAAGATGTCTACCTCCGTCAAATTAAATGTATTAAATTTTGTTTATTTATAAAAAGTTAATCATCAAGCGCATGCTTCGATACTAAAATTGTACACATTTGCAAAAGTGTACTTAATCATTTTGTCTTCTAAGTGGCTCATATTACAACTTAGTCTGCAAGCTTTTCAATCTACCATCGTACAAATCCACCACATTTCTTCTAACACTTCTGATTTTTCCTTTTATCTCGTAAATCCTATCGATCGCGATCCACGACTTTCTTCTACATGTGCGTGTTCGGCCTATTAATCCTGCAGTTCACTTTCCCGGTGTATCGGCTACGTGTTTTCGCGCGCGCGCACACTCCGTGTCCGGTAACAGGATCTTCGCGAAACGTTTCCTAGACGAGGCGAGATTTCGCGTGCGCCACGCGATTCGTAGCTACCGCTTGGCGTCCCTGTTTCTTTTTTTTCCCTTTTCTTTCCTTTCTTCCTTTTTTCCCCCCCTGTCACCTGCTCTCTCATCGCGCCTCTCTAGCGCGCGATCCTCGTCGCGTTGTTGGATCGGTGACTGGTGTGGCGTGAAACGCGAAACGAGGCGCCACACCGACCGCACTCCGACACCAGAGACTGTTTCGAGCACGACACCCGGTAGTGGTCGCGGTACTGGCTCGCTCACCTAGAAACCGTTCACGCGATCTTCGCTCTGACAGCGATCTGTTTACGCGCTCGCTCGCGCCACCGACAGACGCTCGCGGCTGGCCGACTTGGACGACTAGAGGCGTGTGTCGACCGATTTAGGCGCTCCCATCACGGAGACGTGATTATCGATGCCATGATCGCGGAGTATGGCTTTTTGGGTAGAGTGAGATTCAGAGAAAATTTTTTTCGAAATATCCTTTTAAGGGAAGTTGGAGAGAGAGAGAGAGAGGTCCGTTATCGATTTAGGTGGTGCTATGCCAGAGACGTGATTGTCGTTGCCATAATCGTAGCGCATACGGATTTTTAGACAGAGTAAAAGTTAGAGAATAAATTTTTGGAAATAATTTTCGAAGGGGAGTCGAAAGGAAAGATGTGACGACTAATTTAGGCACTGCCATGGCGAAGACGTGATTGACAGAGTAAAATTTGTAAAAAAAAATTATTGCCATGTCAATTATTTTGTCTGCTCACAAGGAACGTGTATGGTTTTCTATGATTTTTGAAGGGAAGATACGTGAAATTTGAAAATGTTCATTTTTGGGAAATCATGATCAAAACAGATTAGCTCGATTCGTTGCAATTTTCTTAATGAAATGGATGAAATTACTTCTTGCAAAACCATGTCTGCTATGCCAGAGACGTGATTGTCGTTGCCATAATCGTAGCGCATACGGATTTTTGGACAGAGTAAAAGTTAGAGAATAAATTTTTGGAAATAATTTTTGAAGGGGAGTCGAAAGGAAAGATGTGACGACTAATTTAGGCACTGCCATGGCGAAGACGTGATTGACAGAGTAAAATTTGTAAAAAAAAATTATTGCCATGTCAATTATTTTGTCTGCTCACAAGGAACGTGTATGGTTTTCTATGATTTTTGAAGGGAAGATACGTGAAATTTGAAAATGTTCATTTTTGGGAAATCATGATCAAAACAGATTAGCTCGATTCGTTGCAATTTTCTTAATGAAATGGATGAAATTACTTCTTGCAAAACCATGTGCAAAAAATGTGAAAGAATTTCTTTTCGCTTGATTTGAAAAATATTCTGAAAGATCTTGGAAATTCCTGTTTTAAAATTCCATTGAAGACTTTCAAGGATGTTTTACGAAATGTTTATCGTCAATGAAAGTTGCAAAAATTGTTTGAATATTATGCTCTGTCATTTTGTAACGTTGCTAAGGTATGCTAAACAAATATTACAGTCA